AAGTTAAAAAAGGGTCAGGCCCACCACACCCTCAGGCGTGCGTGGGCCCCGCTTTTTCTGGTCGCCGCATTTCGCGGATGGGCCTGCCTGTGATGATGTTGAAGCGAATGACTGGGACCCACTTCGTCCTTATCCACAAAACCCATTTTCTGGCCCCACCCGATTAAGAAATTATGGAATGTTCCGAACGTATATTTGACGAACCAATTTATAAATTCCTGGAAAATACTACTAGTAGAACTACACCTTTTGGGCATAAATCATCCCGATCTTTCTCTTTTTATTTTTTCAGAAAAAAAATACATAATCCACACTCCAATATTTGTTAAAAAAATAACTGTTGATTTTTGTTTTCAGTTTATGATTATGTTGACTTTGTAGTTGGGTTTTGTTTATTCATCTTTTTAACAAAAGAAATGAATGATGGGTGGATTAACTTTCGTCAGTGCTGGATTCAGATTAGGATAACAATTCAAGAAAAAGAAGAAATTGACAAGAAAATGACTCCGGAGTGTTGACAATATTTTTTTTCTTTTTAAGTATATTTGATAGAAAAAATATATAATACACTCTAAATTATATTAAATTATATTACATTAATTATTAAATATAAAATGAACCCTTAGTTTTAGCACTTTCTTATTTAATAATTATATTTTATAATCTAATACAATTTAAATCATAAAACATGATATACATTTGAACCTCATGACTCAACGATTATAAACTAATTTATAAAATGCATCCCCAATTTAAAGATTGAGGTTTAAATCCCCCTCCTCAAATGTAAATCTGTTCAAAAAAAAAAAAAACATGAATCCTATTTAATAATCAATTACTCCTTAGGACAAGATAATCCTTTCATTTCCTAAATCTCCCACGCATTTCGATATCTCCGTGTTTTAAGATGATAATGAGATCTTTAATTTAAAAGACTCGAGCTTTTAACAATTAGACCTGAGACACTCTTTAAAAAGATGGAGTACGGACCATGGAATGCAGTAGCTAAGTTCACACTCATTCTTTCAACCTTTAGGCTTAGCCCACCTCAGTGAATGAGGCCACATTTTAGAAATTGGGCCACTGGTTAGTCAATAAAAGGCCCATTCAAACACTCACACGTCTCAATTCCCATGACTAGAAACATGGGGTGGTGACCAAGACCGACCTTCTCCATCTCTAGGTAATTCAAACACCTTTTCTTGACCTTACTGAAAGTAATAATCAATGCCCAAGTTTGCTAGATGACTTTTTTCGATCTATGACACAAGATCACAGCATTTTTACATGTAACATTTATATTATGCTAAAATCAAACATGGTAGACCATCCCGACCTCCAAAGTAGATGCATGGGGTGCAGTCAGTTCATAGGCAGGTGACCTGCTGTTTCTTCTCAAGAACTCAAACACAGAATTTATGACAACCTTCTTTATCAGGCTAGATCCTTGCTTCGCTCTCATATATGAGTGTCCTAGTATGTATGCCATCCCGGCTTCCCTAGCTTCCATTAGTTCCTGCAACTCCTCTCTAGCACTAGACTCTATCTTTGGACTCGCTGGTATGATGAATCTTACTTTTTTCCTTGGCTGGATTGCTGGGGGTGAAAGGATCTCCTTCAGCTCTGATGGGCCAGCTGAGTCTAAGCTGTCTGCTTCGTCCTCATTTAGTTGAATCCCTTCTGCATGGGTAGAACATGTTCCAACTACTGTCATTTTGTTATCATCCTTGACAAGATCATCAGAGGTTCCTGACCGTATGAACTCCGCTATGCTGCAAAAAAGATCCTTCTCAAATTCTGAGTCATCTCTGTGAATGTCACGATATCCATATCGTACTATGCACCTGTAAAGCCTGAATTCTCGTGGGCCAATACGACCCACTAGAAACCTTTCCTCAGGTCCAACATGTGGAACAGGAACAGATTTGATGCAGAGGAAGACAAGGACCTGGTGGAAAGCTGGAAGGTTGGTGACAGTATGTGAGAAGATTGCTGGGATGCCACTGACAAGCTCGGTGTGTATGACCCCAATACCAGGAACCCGTACTATGCCTAAACTAGGACCCAAGCTCAGTAACCAGTTGATGGAGACTTTATTTTGCACGTCAAACTCATACTTCTTTAGGGTGCCATAATGCCAGACACACATGACTATCAGGAAGATAAGAGCAAGTGCAATTGGGACCCAGGCCCCTTCAAGGAACTTGCTGAGGGAAGCTGAGAAGTAGAGAGCTTCAATTGTTCCGAAAAAGAACATGAAGCATAGTGCAAAGAAGATGCTCTTGCGCCAGCACAACACAATTACAAGAGACATCAGACAAGTTGTGACCAGCATAACAGTTATAACGGCCAAACCTGTTCCACAAGAAAAGCAGAGTGTTAAGATTAAGAGTACTAGCAGAAATAAAGAGGAGATACTGATGCCTGGAAAAATTGGCAGGTGAAGAAGTTGAGTGAATACAGAACATGCACAAGTCCAAACTGGGGCCAGAAAACAAAGCTTTGCATTCATCTTAGAAGTCTGACCTTCCATCCCTCTATGTTAACAAATCTCTTTCTCAATCCCAGCAAAAGCACTCCTTCAATACAAGTATGAAACTAACTCTTAAAAATGCCTATCATATGTAGGAGTTAAAACCATTTCCCAAGACTAGACTTCATTACTGGGCATTTTTAAATTGGATCTACGATGTCGGCAGATGATTCCATAACTCCTCTGCCATCTATCAGGTTACAAATTAGGCTGGGTTTAGATGCAAATATACAGTTTGATCTGAAATTACATGATCAATTGAACCAATTCAAGCAAAATTACAGATTTAAGGTTTCTATTTTTTTTGTCTACAACTACAGTTTAAGTTGAATACTAAAACGAATCCAGCAAACAGATGCCATTATAAAGCAGAAGTTAAAATGAGAATAAAATCACACCTGATGCATGGCCCAAGCTTCTTGTGTCTCTAAAGCCAACAGTAACAGCCAAGCATAACAGCATCAAAATCCAGTTTATTTCTGGGATATAGATCTGACCATGGATTTTAGATGATGTGTGGATTATTTTGACTCTTGGGAAGCAATTCAGGGCAGAGCACTGCTTGATGATTGAGAAAGTTCCAGTTATGATGGCCTGACTTCCTACTACTGCAGCAAGTATAGCTATAACCAGGACTGGCCATCTTAAATTCTCTACAGCAGTAATGTTCAGGTGTTTACAATTAGTTAGATGGAATTATCACCCAAGTGCTATTGTATTGGGCTGAATAGTTTAAGGCACCTACCAGGTACAGATACATAAAATCCAATTTGGTAATCACTTTCAAGATTATGATGCTGAGATAGATAGGCAGCTTGCCCCATATATGCAAGAATCAGGGATGGATAGACCAAAGAGGTGAAAGCAACCTGCAGAGATTGAATTCCTTTTATAAAAAAGCTACAGCCAGAATAATAAAAGTCTGCACAATATAAATTTTTATTGGGAAAAAATTCGTTCTTTAAACTTTGGCCGCTGCTACTCAGCTACTAAGAAATGTATGATTCGTAATTGAGAGAAGCTGATTTAGCACATTTGATATGCATGCATGCATGCATGTATTTCTCCAAAAACAATAATAATATATTAAAGTTAGCACCATAGAAAATTAAGAACCAAAATCTTTCAAGGAGTAACATATCGACTGCATAGACAAACATTCTGTTTTTAGCACACTTTAGTACACAAAAGAAAAGCCAAATACACTTCAAAACAGTGTTCCCCCACTGTGCCAAGTAATTAAATGTCTGCAAATAAGCATGAACTACTAGACAGCATTTGTAGTAATATATAATTATTACTGCTCTAAATTTCTAGGCACATGAAGGAAAGAACTGGAGATGTGAAGAAAGCTTAAATTTTGCAGGCATGACCATTTAGTCTTCATATTCAAGAAGGAACTGCTGCAAATAAAGAATAAATAATTTCAGCTGTCTCAATTTAGTACACCAGGACTATTATTGGCAACAGATATGATGGCACCGTAAACACAACTGTAATAGGTCTTATCATCAAATATAAATGAAAGCATGCCAACTTAATACAGTGATCAAATTCTCAATCATAGAATAAGCTTTCAAGATGTCATACCTTTATTGACAATTGCGAGAAATGTCCAAGATCAGCAAACATAGCTTCTGAGCCTGAAAAAAAACAATCCAGAAACAGAACCGTTTAATATAAAGTAGATAGACCTCTTTACTTTTAAGTGGCTCAAAAATAGATCTCATGCACAGACTGACCAGTTATACATAACAAAATCCCACACAGGGACATCCAACCTTCTCTCTGAGTTTTCTTCAAAAATTTGTACATGTAATATGGAGAAAGTGCCCTATACACATGAGGGTTCCAATAAAAAATATTATATACGCCAATAGAACTGATACAAAGGAGCCATGTGAGGACCACAGGTGCAAACAAGAATCCAACCCTGTGCGTGCCGTAATGTTGAAGGGCAAACAAGCCAATCAGTATGATGCATACGACTGGAATTTCTAAATCTGCAGAAAGTTGTTGGACTTTTAGAGGCAGTAGTCAATAATGAAATACATTTAGTTGTAAGAACTAACAATGGACAGAACAGAAGTGTAAGAAAACGGTGACATTGATGACATATATCAAATCTACTAGTTTGAACTGAAAATGTCATCTGCTAGTACCCTTATTTCACATGTAAATTTTGACAAGATTAAAGAGACCTGGAGTGATGTTACATCATGGGATCCACAATACAGTACTTAGTTTCCAAGGAATCCAATAATATTAAATGGAAATTGAATACAAGAAGGTTATATCATAATTTTGAAAAGAACAAACCAATGAGATTAAAGCCAGAGATTTTTGGGAAGCCTTTCTAGGATTTTAAAAAAATTGGGATCAAGACACCAAACAAACAGGTACCGCAGGATTCCAATTAAAATGAGATTCATCTAACAAAATAATTTGTCAAGTCAAAACACCAAATTTGCCTAAAATTGAATTATCTGCAGATAAGGCTCATACTAGACAACAAACTGCAGAAAAATTGAGACCAAGAATGAAGATCTTACATTTGTGATGCTCCTTTGACACCCAAAACTCAAGCCCTGATACCGCTGAGGAAACTGCAGAAACAAACAACTAATCAATCAATCCAGCAACTCACAAATTTTATTTTATTTTTTTTAAAAAAAAAACCCCAAATTCATCAAATGAACACCATGATTACCCGAGAGAGCCGGTGTGAGGATACCATCACCAATGACCATGCAAGTCCCAATCAAGGCTAGAACAAGCAGAAACCTATTTAACACTCTGTGCTTCTCAAAGATAGGTTTCAGCCTTGACCCAGAACTCGATTTTAGTGACAAATTGATAGCATCCTTATGGTACTCGGTCAGGTCCTCGTCTGCCGATTGGCAATTTGGAAGTGAGTTGACTCCGGTGTGTCGACACAGCAATGAATACAAAGCAAAAGTGCCTCCTTCACCATTGTCATCTGCTTTGAGTACTATAAACACATATTTCAGCAGAGGCACCAAAGTGATAGTCCAAAAGACGAAAGACAAGATGCCAAAGATTTCTTCATTGGTCACTGAGTTTTGAATGTTTATATTAAATGTGCTTTTGAACACATATAGAGGAGAAGTGCTCAAATCTCCATAGACAACACCAAGGCTTTGAAACGCTAAAGTCAATACTGTTCTCCATGATTCCTTCCTCTACAAAAACAACAAGCAAAACAATATTAAAACTCCCAAATGGGTTTACTCTTTAGAATCAAACTCAACTTTATCAATTCGTATCTGTGAGAAAAACATAACTCTTTTGGAACAAAATCAAGAACTTACAAAAACTGAAGTGGGATTTATCCCATTAATTTAAAATCTTCACCTTGGCATGGTTTTGAAAAAATCCACCTTCAAGATCCATTATTGAGGAATTTAACGAACACCCATTAGCAAGAAAAGCTTCCCATATACAAATCCATCCAAAGATGCAAAAAATTCATTGACTTTAATCTAGTATAAAAATACAAAAAAGCTATTTCCTTTTATGACCTACGGCCTATGGGTGTATAGAGGCAGTAGTTGAACAACCAACAGGCTCTCAAGAACAAGCACGAAGACGAAAAGAAACAAAGAGATTTGATGACGGTTACTTTCAAGACCGCAACTTGGAATAAAGAAAACAAGAGGCAACACTAAAATATCAACATTTCACGTGAGGTTTTTAGAGAGGGAAAGGGGACAGAGATAAATTTGTTTAAGTAATTGGTGGGAGGAAGAGAGAGGGGGGGATTTGGGTTGTGTTTTGTTGAGTAAAATAACAAAGAAAAATGGGATTTTCGAAGCTGGAAGCGGCTATGTGTTTATCCCTGGAATTGAGCAAGTAGGCAGAGTCCTGTTGGCTCGTCACCTAATGCTCTGTGTCTTACTGGTAATACTGAGTCAGAGCGAACTGGCTCAGTGATAACAATGGGGAAATATATGAAGAAGAGAAGCTGAGGTTGAGAACTAATTTTCCATTGTCTTCTCAGTTCACAGAATCAACATCTGTGTCTCCTTTTCAAGTCCTCCGTTTATTCACCTCAGAGCAATAAATACGGACCCTCCCATTCAGAAACCGTTTTTTACTTTTTTTCACTTTTGGCCTTATTTAGGAAGCGTTTTAATACCCTCAGTTTATTACTCAAAAAATCCAAACACATTTTTGTCTAGATTTTCTTCAAGGGTCCGTTCTATTTAGTTCTACGTATGCTAAGTTTAGATTCTAAGATAAAAAGGTACTCACAAAAGTAAGTAAGTTGTACTTAAATCGAGATATCTTTACTCAAGAAATTGTTGATTTACTTAGAGTTATTAGTTGCGTTATTTGGTTGGTTGGAAATTTTTTTCTTTAAAATTCTTTTTAATTCTCTCTTTATAGAGTTATATATATATTTTTTACAATATTAATGTTATAACAAAATAAAAGTAAAAGTATCAATTTAAATTTTTATTTCCTTTGATATATTTCACAATTTATAAATTTTTCTTTTTATATTTTTTGATGAAAAAAAAAACTTTATACTAACTTTTCATATAGAAGATCCACTTCATAACTATATTAACAATTTATACTAATATCTTATTAAATATAAAAAAATTAATAACTTAACAAAATTTTAACAAAATTAAATTACAAAATTTATTAATTTTTCATACAATACTTATCAACCTTTTATATAATATTTTCTTAATTATTTTCTCCATAAAAACTTTCATACCTCTAACTAAACAAGTCCTCAAGAAAAAAAAAAAAAAGGGCTTAGTTCTGAGCATTAACCTAGTTAAAACAACTAAACGCTTCCCAAGTCCTGGCTTCCCCATTGCCTATTTTCAAAAAGGTCCTGGCTTCCAATTTTTTAAAGTTGACGTTGCATAAAAAAAAAAAATATATATATATATATATATATATGTTACGACTTACGAGGATAGTGTGTATTGTTCTAAATCTTAATTTTTATTGGAGTACCAAAC